GAGATTTTCAAAACAATGAAAAGACAATGGAACATTCTGATCACTGGATCATGACTGGATGGTATGGAGAACAGTGGGATTTTCAAAACAATGAAAAGACAATGGAACATTCTGATCACTGGATCATGACTGGATGGTATGGAGAACAGTGGGATTTTCAAAACAATGAAAAGACAATGGAACATTCTGATCACTGGATCATGACTGGATGGCATGGAGAACAGTAAGATTTTCAAAACAATGAAAAGACAATGGAACATTCTGATCACTGGATCATGACTGGATGGCATGGAGAACAGTGGGATTTTCAAAACAATGAAAAGACAATGGAACATTCTGATCACTGGATCATGACTGGATGACATGGAGAACAGTGAGATTTTCAAAACAATGGAAAGACAATGGAACATTCTGATCACTGGATCATGACTGGATGACATGGAGAACAGTGAGATTTTCAAAACAATGGAAAGACAATGGAACATTCTGATCACTGGATCATGACTGGATGACATGGAGAACAGTGGGATTTTCAAAACAATGAAAAGACAATGGAACATTCTGATCACAGGATCATGACTGGATGACATGGAGAACAGTGGGATTTTCAAAACAATGACAAGACAATGGAACATTCTGATCACTGGATCATGACTGGATGGCATGGAGAACAGTGGGATTTTCAAAACAATGAAAAGACAATGGAACATTCTGATCACTGGATCATGACTGGATGGCATGGAGAACAGTGAGATTTTTAAAACAATGAAAAGACAATGAAACATTCTGATCACTGAATCATGACTGGATGGCATGGAGAACAGTGAGATTTTTAAAACAATGAAAAGACAATGGAACATTCTGATCACTGGATCATGACTGGATGGCATGGAGAACAGTGAGATTTTCAAAACAATGAAAAGACAATGGAACATTCTGATCACTGGATCATGACTGAATGGCATGGAGAACAGTGAGATTTTCAAAACAATGAAAAGACAATGGAACATTCTGATCACTGGATCATGACTGGATGACATGGAGAACAGTGAGATTTTCAAAACAATGAAAAGACAATGGAACATTCTGATCACTGGATCATGACTGGATGGCATGGAGAACAGTGGGATTTTCAAAACAATGAAAAGACAATGGAACATTCTGATCACTGGATCATGACTGGATGGCATGGAGAACAGTGGGATTTTCAAAACAATGAAAAGACAATGGAACATTCTGATCACTGGATCGCGACTGGATGGCATGGAGAACGGTGGGATTTTCAAAACAATGAAGAGACAATGGAACATTTTGATTACTGGATCATGACTGGATGGCATGGAGAACAGTGGGATTTTCAAAACAATGAAAAGACAATGGAACATTCTGATCACTGGATCATGACTGGATGGCATGGAGAACAGTGGGATTTTCAAAACAATGAAAAGACAATGGAGCATTCTGATCACTGGATCATGACTGGATGGCATGGAGAACAGTGGGATTTTCAAAACAATGAAAAGACAATGGAACATTCTGATCACTGGATCATGACTGGATGGCATGGAGAACAGTGGGATTTTCAAAACAATGAAAAGACAATGGAACATTCTGATCACTGAAATGTGACTGGATGGCATGGAGAACAGTGGGATTTTCAAAACAATGAAAAGACAATGGAACATTCTGATCACTGCATCGTGACTGGATGGCATGGAGAACAGTGCGATTTTCAAAACAATGAAAAGATTATGGAACATTCTGATCATTGCATCGTGACTGGATGGCATGGAGAACAGTGGGATTTTCAAAACAATGGAAAGACAATGGAACATTCTGATCACTGGATCGTGACTGGATGGCATGGAGAACAGTGGGATTTTTAAAACAATGAAAAGACAATAGAAAATCCTGGTCACTGCATCGTGACTGGATGGCATGGAGAACAGTGGGATTTTCAAAACAATGAAAAGACAATGGAACATTCTAATCGTTGTATCATGACTGGATGGCATGGAAAACGAAAGACGAATGCAGAAAGACGAATAAAAGCGTCCTTTAATTGTTCTCGTTTAATTTAGAAAGGTTTATTAAGCAGAGCCTTACCCTGTATCCATCGATCTTTCCCTCCACTTTCGACCACTTGACGGTGGCCGTTTTTTTATCTTGGTCAACGGAGATAAACACGTCTTCAGGTGGTTTCTTGGGAACTGGAAGAAGAAAGATAAGAGTATATTTTTGTTATTTCATCTCATCATAGCAAGGATATAATTTTATATAAAACCACCGGTCATACAAGGATCAGAGATGAATAGAGTCAGCAAGCAGGAGTTTACACAAGAATTTTCTTGACAAAATGGCCACTGCTTGTATACTAATTTGCATATAATCTATATATATGATGGTTTTCAGTTTTTAATGGGACTGTACAGGGTGAAAATATTTAACTCGAAATTATTGCAATCTGAGAGTTTGGCCGACCTCTTGCTCAATAAAGCATTCATTTACTAATGTTTCGATGACATATTTATTCCGATCGGGTATCTCTCCTGGCGGTCAAGTCGTGTTCAAGAAAATCACTTTTATGTCATCTTCGTATGGTTAAACTGCTGCCGAGCATTTTGTTTTGAAATTTTTGACGCTGTTTGGTGACACAATCAACAGTTTATAGAGTAGTCCATATCACGAATGTGAAAGACTAGATCTTGAGCAATATTGCTTGGTGTTTTGCATCCGATTCAGTAACTACCAGACTAAAATTTTATAGAAGAAATTGGCCAAACATAGCTTAGATTAACAACGATTCATTATTTGGCCGCTTCGAGAGATACCCGATCTAAATAAATATGCCACCGAAACATTAGCATATGAATGCTTTATTGATCACGAAGTCGCCAAACAGTAGCCGAACTCTCAGATTGCCATAATTTCGAGCTAAATATTTTCGCCCCCTATATTCCCTATATTAATTTTTTGAAAGCCATTGTATACGGATTGTATGCAAATCAGTCTACAAGCTGTGGCCATTTTGTCGTTAATTTCTGGTAATGATTTTTTACCGCGCATAGCGAAAACTCTATTAATATTAACCTTTCATCAAAATCTGAAACTAGCTCAAATTTGATGAGAATCGATGAGAGTTTGCGGTCAAAGACGATTGCAACTCTCATCAACTCTCCCTAATCGCCAAGAGAACCTGTTATTATAACCTCACCATAAACTAACCCTTGCGGTCCGTTTCGATTTGTGCGGTTGTACCGGATTTGTGCGGTTGTGCGGATTTAGGTTCTTCTGATACATGTGAACCAGTGGATGAGTTACAAATGTTCAACTTCAGGCGAGGCTATACATATACTTAAAATACTCATTAGTAATTCATCAGGAAAACACAAAGAAAAATCATAAGCGTGTCGTAGCGTTATATGTGATAAAACTCATCTTAATTATAACGCTTCATCTTAATTAGTATTCTTTTGTAGTCGGAGTTTAAGCCATTTAAAGCACTTGTAGTCGTGTTTTATCATATATCTAAAACGGTCGGCTGCGCCTCGCGTTTTAAATATGATAAAACACTCCTACGCATGCTTTAAATAGTACTTAAAATACTCATTAAAAATTCATAAACCTTGTGGCAAATCATGTCAGCCATAATATGTCACGTGGAGTGACTTTATATCTGATAAAACTCATCTTCATTAGTATTCTTTATATAATTGTTCATCCTAATTAGTATGATTATATATATATTTTTTTTATTTTGCCCAATAAAAAGTTTACATAATTACAGTGCTATAATAACAACGTGAAGGGCTAGGGACCTTAATGAAACCCTTTCAGGCTTTTTGGTTGTTCATCCTAATTAGTATTCTTTTGTAGTCGTATTTTAAGCTATTCAAAACACTCGAACTCGCGTTTTATCATATCTAAAACGCTCGGCTACACACTCCTTCTCGTGTTTTAAATACTACTCAGAGCATTCATAACTTATCTACTCGTACACATCCATCAGAACTCAGAAGATGAAAATCGCACTACACATCGCAGGGAAAATTGCAAGCGTAAACGGACCTTTAAGCCTTAGTTGCACCTGTATATGAGCCTTGGGCAAACACACCCCGTCTAATTGGCAGTAACCATGTATACAAATGCACCCTATTTTATAATCTTACTCCATTAAATGCCAGACGATTTTACTGGTAAAGGAAAGAGTCCTAATGAGTTAACTAAATAAATAAACAATTGTAATTCACCTACCAATCTTCAAATCAATATTCACAACGAGCGGTGGGCCGAAGCCCACCCTGTTCCGAGCAAGAAGCGCAAATTGATATCTTCCCTCCAAATCCAAAGCCTCAAATTCCTGTTCCAGCCTCTGCTCGCCGACGTCAATTATGTTAATTTGTCCGACCGGAAGTTTCCGCACGGTCACTTGGTAACCGACCATGATGCCATTCGTTTTCAGTGGAGGTTTCCACGTCAACGTCACTTCCGGTTTGTTCACGTGGATATCTAGGCTGTACGGTGCCTCGGGAACTAGAAGAATATGTTTATTTGTTAAAGGATTAGTGTCACACCAGGAATTCGCGGGCTCAAACTCCTGCTGGCGGCCATTTTTCGGGACGAATAGATTAGATGATCTGGAAAGTGTTTACAATCCGTCATATATTTAAACAATCCTTTTATAATCCTTGCTCTTTTTGTCTGATTTTTATCAGAAATGTAACAAACAATGTATTATTATCGCTATTCGTTGTATTTGAGTAAAATGTAAACAATAACAAAAGCCCGCAATGCATGACCCTGACACTAATTCTTTAAAGGTTAATAAGTTGAAAATGGTAGCTGTGGTAAATATTAAATAATTTAAAAAGAGAATCTTTTGTATGTTACGTAACACGCGCTCAAAACTAATTAATACACTTTTCAGTTGTTATGACTATATTCAAATTTTTAGATTTTTGATGTTTCTCAAGCGGCAAACAAACTTAAAACGTATGTTTAGTGCTTTATCTGTAAGATTATGCTAAAATGAAGAGATTAATTTAGATGGTAGGCCAAAGAGAGAATGATGTCTGAAGTTCAGAAAGATTTGCTTATATTGCTGTATAAATACGCGTCAACTTTGCAGCATCAATGATAACACTGATAGTCGTATTAAAATTGGCAATAGTTTACTATTAATTTGTGTTTCTCAACCGCCATATACATTTAAAAAGTTTGCTAACTGTGTACAAAATACTAACACAAAGTAATTCTGAGAGCAATGTCAAAACGATTTTAGGTTTTGAACACTTGTTACTAACAGCTTTGTGACACAGTTATTCGGCTATCGTTGAAAAGGTTTTCAAAAATTACTGGAGGGGTGAGCAGTTGCCCCCCCCCCCCCAATTACTAATCCTACCTGACTCGGGAGTTGAGAGTGGCCCAACCACATTACTTCCCGGACCGTCACCCTTGCTGTTGTAGGCAACAACTTGGAAGAAATACGTCGTGAATGAATCGAGACCTAACATGGTGACTGTCTCGTCCGTTGGTTCATAATGAGCGTCTGTTGGACGCATACCATGCTGGGTTGACCAAAAGTACACCTGGAAATATAACACGAATGTTCAACTCATTTTGTTTATACTGGATAACTGTATCGGTTCTGAACTGCTTTTCCTAGAGGTTCAGTAAGAATCATCTCTTCTTATTATTGATCCAGTGTTACTACAGGAGGAAACCTAAACTAAACTAACTTTATTTATACTGGATAGCTCTATCAGTTCTAAACTGTTCTTCCTAGAGGTCCAGTAAGGATCATCTCTTATTGATCCAGTGTTACTATAGGAGGAAACCTAAACTGAACTAACATTATTTATATTGGACATCTCCATCAGTTCCAAACTTTTCTCCCTAGAGGTCCAGTAAGAATCGTCACTTCAGTTACCTTATATCCTAGCAATTTTCCACGGCTTGCCCGTCGATCTTTCGTGATGCCAGTCCACGTTGCCCTGGCTGAGCGACTGTTAAGAATTTGGACACGCAGGTCTTGCGGTTCACCAACTGGAGCTAACGAATAATTACGAAAACAATAGACAAATCCCATTATGGACTAATTTTAAAACTACACACGTAAAAACAGACAAGGTGTTACAGGTCTGCAAACAAGTTGTTACAAGTCTGTTCGCAAGCTGTCGACAAGTTGTGTTCTCACTGCTTGTTCCCAGTTTGTTGTAACAAGTTTGAAACAAGCTGTTAACAACTTGTAACAAGCTTGATGGCATTATCAGACTTGTTACAAGGTTATTCTAACAATGTAAAATCCCAAATCACGACATAGGCACTTTAAAAATACTTTCTAATTGTCCACGTCATACATTAAGACCATGCCACACTATTGCGTATCGTAATAACGTATGCCAGCGTATGAAAAATATCACTCATACGCCGGTATACGCTGGTATACGCTAGGGGTACGTTAGGCATAGGTTGTATACGTTTCAAGCACGGTGGCATACGCTGGCATACAGCGAGGCAGAAAATTTTAAACATGTTCAAAATTTTGTGCGTATCGGACGTATGGTTTATACGATAAGCATACTCTAGGCAGACGCTGAATACGCTAGAGGTACGCCAGATGTACGGTACTCATACGCTGGCATTTCAAAGGATTTTTGTGCGTATGAAAATTATTTCATTAAGTTTCTCTCATACGCAATAGTGTGACGGCGCCTTTACATCCCTAAGCAAGAAATTCCTTTCCCAAGCATGAAATACCTTATAGCCACGGTTTGTGTCTCGATTCGCTATGTTAGAAGTATTATAAATTGAAGATTATTCTATTTTACCAGACTTACATTTTTCTCCAGAGTATCCATAGACGACCGCACTTTTGGGGCCTGGACCGAGTGCGTTGATGGCCTGCACTTGAAACTCGAATTGCTCGTAAAATTCTGTGTCGGCCACCGTGTACTCTAGTTTATTCTTTGAGGTCTCCGCATCCACCTGAATGCGGGTCATAGGGGATGGGTCTTTCACCCGGCGAAAGAAGACAGCATAATGTAAACTGGGTCCATTTTGTTCGATTGGTTTCAGAGGCTGAAATAAATATTCGCAATTTATATTTTAGTTCGATAATAAAGAAACATGAAACTAGTTTTTCGGGCATTTTCTCTAGCCGTTCTAGTTAGGTCATCTCTTGCTAACCAGTGTTCTTGCAGGAGAGAACATTAACTATGCTAACTTTATTTATAATGGATAGCTCTACCACTATCAGTTCTAAACTGTTCTCCATAGAGGTCCAGTAAGGGTCATCTCGTATTGATCCTGTGTTACTACAGGAGGAAACCTAAACTAAACTAACTTTATTTATACTGGATAGCTCTATCACGTCTAAACTGTTCTCCCTAGAGGTCCAGTAAGAGTTATCTCTTATAGATCCTGTGTTACTACAGGAGGAAACGTAAACTAAACTAACTTTATTTATACTGGATGGCACTATCAGTTCTAAACTGTTCTTCCTAGAGGTCCAGTAAGAATCATCTCTTATTGATCTTGTGTTACTACAGAAGGAAACCTAAACTAAACTAACTTTATTTATACTGGATAGCTTTATCACTTCTAAACTGTTCCCCATAGAGGTCCAGTAAGGATCATCTCTTATTGATCCAATGTTACTACAGAAGGAAACCTAAACTAAACTAACTTTATTTATACTGGACAACTCTACCACTTCTTGACTGTTCTTTCTAGAGGTCCCGGAAGGATCATCTCTTATTGATCCAGTGTTACTAAAGAAGGAAACCTAAACGAAACTAATTTATTCACACGGAATAGCTCTTCCAGTTTTACCTGCCAAGATATCGTCAGCTCTGTTGGGCTTGGTCCCTGTCCTGTGATATTTGATGGAGCTTTGTCAGGCACTATTAAAAGCAATAAAAATGTTTAGCTTGTAGAGACGAAGCTTAGTGTAAAGTTTAATCCTTTTTAATTAACCAGTACCTGCAGATTGGCACCAGAAAAATCTCACTGTAGGGACTTTGTGTAGAAATTTATATGTAAATGTGTAAAAGTGTTTTGTTAATTTTCCTTTTAAATAATGCACCTTGCACGAACAACGCTCGCATGCCTAGTTAAGAAATTGGGGTCTCAAAAACTATCGATGATTGAATTGAAATTTGTGACGCATATTTCACCGTGTAATGCTTGAAATGATTCCTGAAACAGACTGACAATATTCACAGATTTCATAGTGGATTAGCGAGGCTATATTACTTTCACTAAAATTTGATTAAAATTATATGCAATTATTAAACAATTATTGGATGAGGCTGAGCATGACATCAAGAATTATTCAGACCGAGGTCAATGTTATCTGCCGAAGCGAAGCTGAGGCGGATAACATTGACCGAGGTCTGAATAAATCTTGACTGATGTAATGCGAATGCCAAATCCAATAATTGAATAATTATACATTGAAAACATCAGAAACGTATAAAACAATTAAACAAAGTTTATTAATTTTAATGTTTCAAGTATATTTATTTTATTTTCGCGCGCTTTTTGGGTTTGAGTTGTTGGACGCGCCGGGGCTTGGGCACGAGAGTGCCAATATTTTTTTGGGCTGCAAGTTTGATCCAAAAAACTGTTATTGGACGCTGAGCACGTCAGCAGCTGAAATTACGTGATAAGTATCGAATATTGAGAATTATCCAATGCTCTCTGACCAATCAGGAAAGAGAATACATACTAAATGTATAGTAATTTGGATTGTAGAAGCTAGATTAATTTGCCATGGTATAAGACACTAAGCACTGGGGAGCCACCTTAAATTATCCCAAAAAATAACCCACTGACCTGCAGCAGGACTCTGGATCAATCTGCTTTCTGGACTAGGTTTACTTTGCCCAATAGCATTCACAAGTATTACTCGAAATGTATAGAAAGCCCAAGGAGATATCTTGACCTCAGCTCTATTTTCGCCCTTTTGCACGACATCCCGTGAAGTATACCAAACACCAGTTTCATACAATGTTTTGTATTCGACGATAACTTTGTTAACTGGACTGTTGTTATTTGCTTGGTAGGCAGACGTTGTCCACGTGATATTCACGTGATATTTCTTCACGGCACTCACGGTGATCGAGATCGGCGCATTTGGTGGTCCTGGAACGAGAGAACAAGAAGTTGTTTCATGTTTCGCTCGCTACTCTGGTTTAAATAAATGATTACAAAGCCCAGTCGAATTGCAATCAAGACCCAACGTTTCGACACTCTAGTCTAGTGTCTTCATCAGGGGTGATCTAAAGATGCAATCGTGGCTTCTTAAATACCCAAGGGATGACGTCACCTTCCAATGAGATGCATATATTCCTCTGGCAAATAGGCACCGTCATCCTTATTCAAAGCATGATTACTCATATTTATATGCCACGCTTCGAGGCAAAGTCTTTGACCATAGCGATTGTTTGTGGTAATTACTTTTCGCTTCATGCATTGATGTTTTCAAGAAAGATTTTCGGAAAATATTGTTTCCCAATGTTTCCCAAAGTTTTGGCAAGCTTTGAAACACAGGTGGACAAACCGGAAAACATTGTTTCCTTGCCATGTTTCCCGAAGGTGTACAAATCTGGAAACATTGTTTCCTAGTCATGTTTCTCAAAGGTGGACAAACCATGAAACATTGTTTCCTAGTCATGTTTCCCGAAGGTGTACAAATCTGGAAACATTGTTTCCTAGTCATGTTTCCCAAAGGTGGACACACCATGAAACATTGTTTCCTAGCCATGTTTCTCGAAGGTGGACAAACCGGAAAACATTGTTTCCTTGCCATGTTTCCCGAAGGTGTACAAACCAGGAAACATTGTTTCCTAGCCATGTTTCCCAAAGGTAGCAATAAGACGTAAATTGTTCCTTTACAAGAACATACTGGACTGTTAGTCAGTAACAAATTCTGATATATTTCAGTTTATTTATAAACTTTTACCTTTCACTTTAATTCTAATATCTGTCATATCAGAACTTCTACCAGCGCCAGTTAAACTATCTGCGATAGCTTTACAACCGTACACGGCAGAGTTCTTCAACGTCAGCTCTTTAATAAACAACACGCTCCTTCTCGCCTCGTTCGTGACGACAATATTTCGTTCGGTAAACGGTCTGAGATTTTGCGTCCATACGAAGGAGACGACGGACTCTGTTTCTGTTTGGACCTCGCAAGTTAAACTGAGATTTCGACCGACAATTGCATCAACTGTTCGTGGGAAGTTTAGAATTATGATGCCGTCTGAAAAGAGAAAAAAGAGACCTTAAGATGTAGAACGGCAAAGTGATGACGGCGTCCAGAACAAATTTATTCAAATAAATTATTGTATTAAGATAGGAATGCTACTACCTGATCGAAGTTCTCCTTGAATTCTTCAGGTAATTGTATCTCTATCAATCCGAAGCCTATCAATCGACAATACCTACACTGGCACAAACTGTTCAATGAACTAACTTACTCTATTTCTGCGTAAGAAATCAATCAGCACTAAGCTTTTCTCCCTAAAGGTCCAGTAAGTTGCAAGAGCCATTCCTCGCCGTTCCAATGTTACCACAGGAAAAAACTCTAAAACTAACTGTATTTGTACTGGATAGCTTTATTAGTTTTAAACTGTTCTCCGGACCTCTATGTGCAGTAAGTATCATCTCTTATTGATCCAGTGTACTACAGGAGGAAATCCAAACTAAACTAACTTTATTTATACTGGATAGGTCTATCAGTTCTGAACTGTTCTCCCCAGAGGTCCAGTAAGGATAATCTTTTATTGATCCACTGTTACCACAGGAAGAAACCTACGATAAACAAGTTATATTTATGCTGTATAACTCTATCAGTAAACTGTTCTCCCTAGAGGTTCCGTAAGGGACATTCCTTATACTGTTACAATTGTTGACAGATTGTTGAATTGCAAGACGATAACAAGTCGTTGGAACAACTTGTACCAAAAGTCTGTTGAGCTCAACAACATTCTAGCAAGTCATCAACGAGCCGTTGACAACTTGTCAAGCAGCTGTGAGGAACAAGCAGTGAGAACCGACATCCTGTAGACAAGTTGTTGGAACAGCATCGATACATCTATAGGTACAGTATGCTTTAGGTTTGTTACAAGTCTTACAACTTGTGTGATTCTACGGGTACAGTTGGATTGAAATGTTTGATTCATTACAAAACATTACCTTTAACTATGAGGTAACTTTCTTTCTTGACAAATCCAAATGAGTTCCGACCGAAACAGGTATAAATTCCCCTGTCACTCTTTCGAACTTTAGATATTCGCAGGGTACCATCATCACTCACACTGTACTTATCACCTGATTTGCCGAGGAGGGTAGATCCTTTATACCACGTGACTTCCGGCTTTGGGGAGCCAATAGGCTGGCAGGAAATCACGGCTGTTCCACTGTTCACTGCGTTCGTAATTTCGTCCGGTTCAATGCTTCCTTTGTCGAAACTTGGCGGTGCGGCTGTAGAAGAACGTTTTAGAACTAGTTCAAAATTTGTTAATAATTTAGCCCTGCGATTTTGTAATAATGTGTCCCTTTATAACACTCGTGCTAACTTTATGCATATTGGATAGCTCCATCAGTTCTAAGCTTCTATTTGTAGGGGCTCGTCCCTTATTTGTCCAGTGTTAACCACAGAAGGAAACCTAATTTTAAATTAAATTCATTTCCAGTGGATAGTTCTATCAGTTCTAAATTGTTCTTTCTATAGAAGTTGAGTATAAGGATCTTCTCAGAGGTCCAGTAAGGATCATCTCTTATTGATCCAGTGTTACTACAGCCAGGAAGAAACCTAAACTAACTATATTTATACTGGATAGCTCTATCAGTTTCAGGTCTTCCCAGAGGTCCAGTAAGGACCATCTCTTATTGATCCAGTGTTACCACAGGGAAAAAACCTAAACTAAATGAGTAACTTTATTAAAACTGGATAGCTCAGTTCTAAGCTGTTCTCCCTAGAGATCCAGTAACGATGATCTCTTATTGATCCAGTATTACTAAGGAAACCTGAACTAAACTAACTTCATTTATACTGGATAGCTCTATCAGTTCTTCTGCCCAGAGGTCCAGTAAGAATTCTTGGACTGGATCAAAATTAATTAAGTAGCGATTTATTCGTATTAGATGTAATATTTCAAATCCAACTATGAGAACTGAACTAGATTTCAAGTTTTAGCATTTTGTCCAGTCCTCAAAATTTTTCGGGGAAAGAAAATTGTGTAATGTGATTGGCCGGCACAAATTTTCCCTCGGAAAAAAACTTTAACAATGATATTTTCGGAAAAATTTTTGTTAGTGGAAATTTTTCTTCAGTGGAAATGGGCCTAAGATAAGATATGAATGCTCCGAGTATATGTACAGTATACCCTCATCTAAATATTTCTTACTCATCCCTTTACATACACAAACATCAGGAAAGAAAATTGCAGCAGACAGGCGTTAACGCTCCCGAAATACTATTCCACACATACCTTTCACATCAAGTTCAGCAGCCGTGATCAGCTCCTTGACACTATTCGAAGCATGACATTGGTACATGCCTTTTTGACTGACTTGGAGCCTGGGAAAGCTCAACGTTCCTTCATTTATAATGTAGTCAGAATCAGCTAGCGCTGACTTTTTCATCTTCATGCCATTATGCAACCAGGTGTATTTAATAGGAGGGACACCTTCTGCGCGACATTTCCACGTCAAGCTTGTGTTCACGTCCACTGAGGCGTCTTTAGGACGGCTAGTCCATTGCGCTTCAACTGTTAAATTAGACCGAGATAATATCAATATTACACATGCGAAAATCTCACATCTTGTAGGAAGTGTGTCTGCCAATAAGACGTCAACAAGTTGTGTTCGCACTGCTTGTCCCAAGTTGTCCAAAAGTTTCGAACAAGCTGTTAACAATTTGTAACAAACTTGATGGCATTATCAGACTTGTAGCAAGGTTGTTTAAGCAAGTCTGATACATTCATGATATAACAATATTGTTACAACCTTGTGCCATCAACCTTGTAACATTCTTGTTTTATCGTGACTCTATCAGACTTGTATAGCAAGGTTGTTCCGACAAGTCCGATACAGCCATGATATAACAATATTGTTACAACCTAGATTGTGCCGTCAACCTTGTAACATTCTTGTTGTATCTTAACTGTGTCAGAATTGTTAGAACAACCTTGTAACAAATCTGATGATTTTCTTTGCCTGGCGTTTGACGTACTGTATAACGCGAAGCTTAAACTCTCTAATAACAACTTGTTACAAACTTGTCAATAACTGGGAACAAATAGTGCAAACACATCTTGAGAATTTTACGCGTGTACATAGAGTTCCTACCAGATGGTTACGGTTTTCAGTCATACTCACCAAGCATAGTCACGGAGGTTGTGACTTCAGTCGAGTCTCCATAGTCATTCGAGGTCCTGCAGATATACGTGCCGGCATCCTTCTCGCTGAATTCACGTATGACGTAGCTTCTCTTGTTTGTCGATGCTTTCCCAAGTTCAACTGTGCTTCCCGATTTCTTGAGTGAGATATGAGGTACTGGCCTGTTGAATAAAGTCAGCGAAAGTTTGGTGACACACAGTGAGCACGCTCATATATATGTACCAAAATCCAGTATGCTCATGAGCATGCTCATATATATACCAAAATCAATTATGCTCATGACCATGCTTATATATGATCCAGGAGAAAACTTACTACAGGAGGCAACCTAAACGAATCTAAGTTCTATCAGTTCTAAACTGTTCTTCCTGTATTTCTACAGGAAAAAACCAATATCTAAACTAGCTAACTTTATTTTTACTGGATTGTTCTATCAGTTCTAAACTGTTCTTTCTAGAGGTCCAGTAAGGATTATCTCTTATTGATTCAATGTTACTACAGGAGGAAACGTAAACTAAACTAACTTTTATTTATACTGGATAGCTCTATCAGTTCTAAACTCTTCTCCCTAGAGGTCCAGAAAATATCATCTTTTATTACTCTAGTGTTAAAAATTGATAGAATTACACAGTTCAAATAAAAGCCAATACAATTAGGTTTACTGTAATTCTGTAGGCTGTAGCAAATAGATACATAAACAGCTTAATGCATGGAATAAATCATCAAAACACAGATTCACCTTACCTTCCGTATCCAATACATTCCAGAACAAACGTTTTTCCTCTCACGGCATATTTTGGTTCACGAAATTCACTGAAAACACCAGGAGCTTTTACTTCATATTTAGTTTCTGAGAAAAGCAAGAAAATCATGTAGAGCATGTTTTTGAATGTTAGCCATCTTAAACTGGTTGAAGGTTCTGGTATTCCTCTGCGATCTGTGGTCTCCTCTACACATGCATGTCATATTGAATTGAATTGAATTTATTACAAAAAAATCTGAATGGCAGCTAAGAGCTGAATTGTACAGAGTTGACATTTAAAATACATGGTAAAACTAATACATATGGTAATATACGGTATATTAAAACTAAAATTTATATTACAATTAAAATGAATCATTATATGATACGATACTAGAAGGAATAAAACTTTTACTAAATCTTGTAGTCTTACAATTAATTAAGTTAATATGCTGATCGTTGCGTAGATTGTAAGTACGTAAGTCCTCGCGTTTATTAGGGATAAGTTCATTCAATTTATTTTCCGGGTTGAGAAGTTTCTTAAAATAGGATTTACATAAATTATTTCGTCTTTGAGAGAGCAACGATATTTCATGAACTTCCAAGGCTTTGCGGTATGACAGGTCAGGACATATTATTCGTAGGGCTCGTTTCTGAATTCTTTCGATTTCTTCCTTTAAATAGTCAGGGGAGTTTAAGTTCCAAACCTAGCATGCATATTCAAGCACAGGTCGTATACATGTGGTATAGACTTGAATTAGAGAATTCCCTCCAAGACCGCTGCGTTTAAGCACTCGGAGAAAAAAAAGTCTCTTTGATGCCTTGTGTACTATGTGTTCAACATGTAAGTTCCAACTAAGATCAGAAGAAAAGTACAGACCAAGAACCTTTGCTGATAAAACTGGGGACATACAGTGATCTTTAATAAACAATGGTCGAAGATTAGGGACGTCCTTAGCGAGCCTCCTAACAATTAACTTGTAAAGGCCCATTTTCACTCAAGAAAAATTTCCATGGACACAAAATTTTGAGTCGAAAATATCATTGTTAAAAAGTTGAAAATTTTCAACTTCAAAATTTTTTTCTGACGGAAAATTCGTGTCGGCCAATTACATTTTACAACATTTTCTCTCTGCGGAAAATTTTTCTGAGTGGAACTAGCCTTAACAAGCTTGATGGCATTATCAGACTTATTACAAGGTCGTTCTAACAAGTCTGATACATGCGGTCATATGATATAACAAGAATATTGTTACAAGGTTGACGAGAAAAGGCTGTAACAATATTGTTAAATATTGACTGTTTCGGACTTGTTGGAACAACCTTGCAACAAGTCTGATTGTACCAAAAAGATTGTTACAACTGTTAACAAGTTGACAACTTGGGACAAGCAGTGTGCACACGCGTAAAAATCTCAGATCTTGTAGCAATTCTGCCAAGAAGCCGTCAACAAGTTGTATTCGCACCGTTTGCCGGTTCCAAGTTTTCAACAAGTCTGTTAACAACTTGTAACAATCTTGTTAATATTATCAGGCTTGTTGCAAGATTGTTCCAACAAGTCCGATAAAATTTCAAAATTTCAAATTTATTTGAAGAATACAATTACGTTTCACAAGCTATATAGTCCAGGTGATCTCGTGTTCGTATTTTAGCCAATCAGCGCTCAGAAAGGGTTGTCCGAATAGAAATCCATTTTGATGTATTCAGTCAATTATATCTTTCGTTATTCTTTATGAAACTAGTTGAAATTTTGTAATTATGTTTAGTTATGAGAACTATAGCTCTGACAAAAATATGGAATCGAAATAAAGTATATTACAGGAGATATTCAGTTGTTTTAATCATAAAATGGATTTCTATTTGACAACTAGTGCCAGTACTTTTCCGCGTATCAAGATCATCTGAGTATAAAGCATTTGCCTCCGTGTTGTATCAGACATACAACCTCTCGCCTTCGGCTCGAGTTTGTAACTTAAAGTTTTGTTGATTTCCTTACCTTGAGACAAGCCAACTTTAAGCTTCACGGTTCGTTTCTCGCTCTTGCCCAGAATGGTATTTCCAACTACACAGACATAGCTACCAGTATCAGCGCTGGTTACATACGAGAAATACAGATCACCATTATTTCCAACAGTATAGTGTGGTGCCTTCTCCAGGGGAGGGAATAGCTCAGCGTAGTGGAAATCCTTCTTTGCCCACCTTACGCTTCGGAGTTTCAAGGGCTTGCTGGCTGGGATTTTGCATTTCATGGCCAAAGCTTCGCCGTTCTTGGCTTCCATGTTTGAAAACGGTTCCGTGAAGGGGTCCAAGACTACAGAGAAATTAAGTGGGAATTTTTACTTTGTGTCGTACACGCATCTTGCGCATGCTTGCGACTTCACTAAACAAATGGTGTCTCCAAAGAAAGTACATGTGCAGACAACATGAAACTTTAGACTGCAGAAAATTGCACAAACAGTTATCAAACTCGTGTCACAGAAGTTGTAAAGGACATGTGTAACAACTGAATGGTATTCTTTTGTAAGGTTTTCGGTCAGGGGTGGGTATTTATTTTTTATTTGATATCTGAGTTTGAAGAAAATTTTTTTAGTGTTTTTAATGGTTTGGTCAGCAAACTTTTTACGAAGAGAAACACATCTCTTCGGTGCCACCCCCCCGCCAGAAATAACGACCGGTCCCTAAGATGTAGTTTTCCATATACTTACAAGGAAAGCCAAGTTTCGCTGGAAGGCTGACAATAGTGCCAACGATGTTACTTGATCTGCAACGATATGTTCCCTTATCTCGAATTTCGTTCGCAAAAATGATATGGATCGCCCCATTCGACGAGATTTGAAAGTGGCTTCCTTTGAGAGTGACGCCATCTTTCTCCCAAATCACCGTGGGTTTTGGATAACCATTAGTTATGCAAAACAGCGAGACATTGGATCCTGGAATAGCTATGGTGTCTTCTGGGTTAGCTATTATTGAAGGTCCAATGTTTTCTGTGAAGAGATGATCAATAAATTAAGGCAAAGCCGAATAAATATTCAATTAGTTTTGTTAAAGCATGTTGACTCTAACAAGTCGTCCTGCAGGGCCTATTCTAAGGAAATTTCAATACTGCACACTTCTGAGCAGGTGTCAACGTCACTCTGTGACGTCATCTTTGAATTGTTATGTTTTTATATAGAACATAATGACAACATACAGCTGGGTGTCTCGGAAAAAGTAAACCTTTCAAATTCAAATCAGCCATAACCTATTGTAGTAATTCGCGGATGCGACACAAATGACAACCTTATTCCCTGGCTCTTCCCTCTTGTGGAGGAAAGAAGTACACTGGCTTTTCTGGACGTGAAAATATTGAATATTGGAATAGGCTATTCCAGCTTTTAGTTTATGCCTGCAGGGAATGATGGGAAGTAAGGTATCATAGTGCTGATTTGCTGAAAATTTTCAATAAAAACTACCGAAATAACCGAAATATTTCAATATTTACAAGTATAAGCTATCACTCCGGGTTTACACGGTCACCATTTTTATTTTTTCAGCATAATAAGCTATGTCATAGATATATAACTATATCTATGGCTATGTGATACCTTACTTCCCATCGTCCCCTGCACGCATAAACTAAAAGCTGGAATTGCCTATTATTACTGGAACTTGGCATATATTTGGCCAATCTTTGTTTGTGCCTTGCCTATTTTGTTGCAAAGGCATTTTGGAATTCTCGACTTTATATTTCATCCATTTCGCTCCTTCAGCACATTGAAATTTATTTCAAATTTCAATACTGCACACTTTCGCATTCAATACTGCACACTTTTATTTAATACTGCACAAACTGTGCAATATTGCACACTAAAATAGGCCCTGTCGTTCTGTGTTACTACAAGCCCCCTCCCAATAATTTTCATGATATTAAACGCACATGCCCTTTCGTGCTTGGTTTGGGAAATTGCGGGTACAATTAGCTCATATAGTCATATATCGTGCTAGTAAAAAAAATTACCGACGTTTTCTGAGCGAGAGTGAAAAACACTGGTATCAATGCCCAAATTCGGCTCAGAAATTCTGCCTCTCAGAATATATAAATGTGTTGTGTATTTTTTTACAATTTTAAAATCTTCGATATTTAAATAGAGCGATTTTAACAATTTTATTTGAATGTCGTTATCTTGAAGAAAAGGAACGAACAAATTACAGAACGCGCGCATGTACAAATTTCCCCCCATCCCCTGTTTTCGCTATATATGCATGTGAGTATTAAACTTATTTTTTTATTTTAAGCCTTTCTTAACTCGCAGATTCAGTAGCAATTCCCAAATTCCTGCTTATTAAATCATCAATTTTGACATTTGGGAAAAAATTGACTAGCCAAGTCTATGTCAGCCTCACTACAAGCTGTTCCACGAAAAATAATAAAAAGAGATCGGAGTCCAATCTTTGGCCAATTCGACTGAAATTATAACTATGTGTATAATATCACACAATGGAACAAATTAATAATGTAGTTGCCCCGTTTGCCCCCCCCCCCTGGCTAACGCCAATAGGAAAAAGCTACGTCATTAGCTCTGGCCTTACTAGAATATTGCAGACGATGCGATTGTCGGTTTCCCAAATAGCAATAAAGCTCGCATATAATTGCAATAGTGAAGCAAATCCCTCGATACGCAGCCTTGCCTGCAATCTAATCTATTAATATTGCAGAGTGAAAACAGAGACAAGTCTACTAGATTACTAATATAACAATTGATACAATATATAGGCAGGACTTTGTTGCTTTTAATAATTGCTGGATAGTTGATAGTTGATATGTTGGGTATATTTAAATAGAAGTTGTGGCTGTTCCGCTGTTGTGCCTAATTTGTAGTAAACAAAAAATAAATGTTAGAACCGCAAAATAAAAATGATATATTGAATACATTTCACGTCTTTGCGCAAACGTTTAAATATCATCTGGCTATAACTAGGATCGCTTTTTGAGAAGGTTTTTCCATGAAGACTGCATGAACTTTGAACTTCCGATACTGTCGTCTATCATCAGATTAACATTGCATGTTGTCTTTCGCGACAAAACTACTCTCTTATCTGAGCTTTAACAAAAGCAATTTCTATTTAAGATATACCTCAATCTTTTTTAGTTACATTTATGGCAACACCCCTTGTGTAGGACACACGATCGGCATTTAGCCGCAGTAAATAAGCAATCTAGCTATTAAATGTGGCCATGTGGGACCCCTAGTCTGTCAGGGCAGTTTGCTCATTGAGGCGCGAGTCTCTTCGACCGAAAGACAGAAAAACATGACGACATTTGACTAATTTCGAATTTCTAATGAACTTATATCTAAGCTGACCAGTAGTGCCTTTAAAATGATAAGTATACTGTTTATATAGTATAATTATATATATACTGATATAAATGATATATAATGATATAAATATAATGATAAATATACTCAGCTAAATGAAAAATTTACTGAAAATATTTACAGATTGACGGAGGGGTCAAAACTGTTGCACTTTTTCCGCGCAAATTTTGACAGCTTCGAGACTGGGAACTAACATTCTTTCGTAATGTGACTCCGGGAGCATTTTGCATAGCAACCGACCATTGTGCAAGTTAGTCTACATGCAATAAAGCTAAACTAAATGAATAAACGCGAGAATGTCAGGAAAACTCAGTTGGATTGGTTTTATATTTTATCAAGCACCAAGCTTCATTATCTTGATCTACCTTATTGGTTGTATCAGCCAGTTCATATTACTCATGATGATTTTAGTGTTCGTTTTATTAGTTGATTTATTTATGGTAGTTCTAACTATTCTCTTAGTTATTTACAAGATCATTGTGACAAAAGAAGTCTTGCGTAGCGAAACTAAAAAACCGGATTCTTGGCTATTGCTTTTCCTGTCCACGTGGATAGTTTTCGATGCAATATTTCAACGAATCTTAGCTGCGATTGAACCTATCGATAAATCGGCACGAACCTGTTCCGCGTTCAGAATTTCAAATATGATATTTACCTTCCTTTTACCACTACAACTACTACATGGGATTGGCTTAGGGGATCAAGGTATGTTGCCATTTTGCCCAGCGATACTAGATATCTACGATGGAATTGAGATGCTTACAACGCAATCACATCTAACAAACCGGGCATGGCCATGGATGCAGATAATGATTGTCTTGGCTGTTCTCGTGTTCTACATTCCTTCTTTTCTTGAAATACATTATCTTATGCGATATTCTGACCTAGAAAATGGACCAATCATTTCGGAACGGATCATCTGGCTTGGTAAATTATTATCCAGTTTTATGTTTCTTTTTCTTCGCGTGCTGTTGTTTGCTTTCAACCCGCACGAAATGTTCTTCGCTGTCAAAACTATACTAAGAATATACTACCATTACAAAAATTATCAAATATGCAGTGAATGAGTGATTAACATGCGGCTTGTTAGTCTGCCCCCCCCCCCGCCTTTGGCTTCTTCGCTTTCCTCAGCCTTGTCCCAGTCGTTCTGAAGCAAGAGCGAGAAAAAACGCGGATGTAGTATGAGACTGGAACCTAGGTGTGACGTCAGCTCGGCACAGCACACCCCGGCATAAAACTCATAAAACTCATTTAAATATATCAAAGCAGCGTTCAGCGCGAGAGCCTGGGACTAGGCTGGCTTTCCTTGTATAATGGCTATGCATGAAACAATTATGACTGTAGTTGTAAAATATAGTTGATGTTTCGAGAATTTTGGAACTCATTTAAAGTAGACTATCACTATTAGTTTGTTCCTTATTAATGTATTCTTGTGATTCTTATATACCGAAACTGGTATTTATGTTGATTAAATACTATATTTGGCTAGCAGTTAATATAAAAAGATACAAAACAAAAATAAGGCAATATTGTCGCCGCCGCTAATTTGTTCGTGAGTTATTGACTATGAGCATGGATTTTCTCCCACTTGTGCGGGCTCACATTGTCAGCGGATATCTTATGTTAGCACTAAGAACTAAGTTAACCTAGCACGGTTATGTGAAAGCTTTCTATTTTTCATCGGAAGTCTGCTGGGAAAATGAGCCTGCTGTACTGGGAAAAAATTGCCGAAAATGACCCACCAGTCAAATCCTAGTCCAGGCCTATGCTTTTTTCAGTTATATGCTTGTAGGATAAACACAACATTACAACACACGAACTTTGCAACTTACCATTACACAGAACAAACACACTGCACAATGTAATGTAAATGAATACAACTGTAGCCCTGATTAACATGACTTGAGTGAAATTGATTCGATCTAGATTGACAAGAAAATACGGTATATTAACAAAATTTACAATTAAAATCCTACGTCATATAAGAGGTATAAATTACCAGGTAAGTATCACAGGCTTGAAATGTTTCCAGAATATCTACTCAATAAAAGTACGGTACATATTTCATTTCCCACAAACAATTTCAGGTATCTCAAACATGCGAGACAACAATGTAAGTAGCATTTTAATTTACAATAAGCTATAGTAATCTACAATAAGCTGCCGTGATTTGTATCTAAACTACATGTGTAAAACTGTCACAACTTAATTGTCAAGATGTGTTCCCAACAGGCTAGGTTGTAGCAGAGGCTTGTAGCAAGCATGTCAAGCAATGTTGTTATTTTATCAAGTTGCTACAAGGTTGTCACTCGCAACTTGTTGACAAATTGTTGAATTGCAGGACGATAACAAATTATTGGAACAACATGTAACAAGTCTGTTGAGCTCAACTACAACCTTGTAGCAAGTCGTCAACAAGCCGCGAACACATCCTGATGACACGTCGTTGGAACTGCATAACTACATGGATGTATAGAATTCGTATAGTACTCTGCAATAAGCTGTCGTGGTTTGTGTCTGAACTAACTGAAAAAGATATCTCAAACGTGGTGGTCCAGTGTAGGTAGTATTCTACAATAAGCTGCCGTGGTTTGTGTTTGAACTTCCTGAAAAAGATATCTCAAACGTGGTGGTCTATAGGTAGCATTCTACAATAAGCTGCCGTGGTTTTGTCTACTGAACTACCTACAACACTGATTAAAAACACTTCGACGTTCAATAATTTAGCGAGTGAAAGCTTTCAATTTTGTGAAGAGGTCAGTAATCAATATAAGGCTGGCAATGTTCAAATACTTCAACAAAACAACGCATGTTAGTTCATTATTAAATCACAATACCTTTGTATCAGAAGAGAATTGATATCAAAGAGCAAAGGTTAAGCTGAGGCGAACTTCCTCCCTTCCAATATCTTAATCCTGTAGAAACGTGAAACACCATTAAACACGTAATCCCAAAGAGTTATGAGCACTTCATATGAAGCGAAGTTTACCGTAGCAAACGGCAACCACAGAAAGCTTTATCAGATATATTAATTTGATAAAAGGCGACAGAATGCTTCGTATTTGCCGATCAATTATGCAAAGCCGTTCAGGTTAGCTGTGGAAAACAAGAAGCTCAGACATTCATGCTGGGTTTTCAAAGGCGGGAAACTTATTAAAGCTTAAAAAAAGCCGCGCTGGGCAAAACGTTATTAAAACACTGTCAGCACAAGATTCCGATCAAATTCCAAACATTTCTATCCAGAAGTGGAACTAAAAATATATTTGTAGTAAAAATCATATACGTGTTGCTTTAATTTGCGTCAAAATTAGTTCGTATAACATTTTATTTGTTGAGCTAATTTGCAGTTAATCCCACAAAAAGACCGCTCGTTCGCGCATTCATGAAATTACGTGTTTCGTTAACGATAATTTCAAGAGCAAAACCGCACTAGAGGCGGGAATGTGTTGTCGAGTCCCACTGATGAAACCGCATCGAAATAAATAACTAAAAATGATCAGGTAACATTATATTATGTGTTTATTGAAATTTTCAGACTGTTGGAATTCGCCTCAATTCCATGTGCAAACTTCGATCGGGTTTCTGCGGGTACTGTGGTTTTCTCTTGCAGTAGCACTGGATCAATAAGAGATGATCCTTACTGGACCTCTAGGAAGAAAAATTTAGAACTGGTAGAGCAACTATACCCAGTATAAATAAGGTTAGTTTAGTTTAGGTTTCCTCCTGTAGTAACACTGGATTAATAAGGAAAGATCTTTACTAGACCTCTAAGAAGAACAGTTTTGAAGTGATCGAGCTATCCAGTATAAATCAAGTTAGTTTAGTTTATGTTTCCTCCTGTAGTAACACTGGATCAATAAAGATGATCCTTACTGGATCTCTAAGAAAAATAATTTAGAATTGATAGAACTATCCGGTACGAATAAAGTTGATTTAGTTCAGTAACCCTGTTATATTAAAAGGATGATCCTAAGTGGATCTCCAGGAATAACAGTTTAGAATTCATAGAGCTAATAGCTCTATCTAAGCTGCCAAGTATAAATAAAGTTAGTGTTGCCCGTTTCTAAGGGAAGAGCCATTACCGAACCACTAGAAATTAAGAGCAATTTAGAACTGATAGAGACGCAGTATATATAGCAGAATATGACGTAACACACTGTGGGTCCTTTACAGGAACTACTAAAGTGATTTTTTGTCTACCGTTCATCAGCATGACCGAGCAAATAAATTAAAAGTGGGCAGAGATTTTTTACCGACATAGAGTGAGAGCTTATCAAATTAAGAATCAACTCAGGTAATATAATTAACGATAGCACCAGGTCTAACGGCGATGTGGATACCACATTTCTGACCGTTAATATATAGGCATGATTGCTTACTTCTTCAGACCCAACCTCGTTCCAAGGGTCTTTTTTGAAAATTCATGAATTTTCAAAAAAGGCCCTGGGAACGAGGTTGCTTCAGACCCTCTGAGAGATATATTGGCAAGATATATGTTTAGAAATTTGTTGTCATATATATGCAAGACATCGAGTAAGATATAACTTTGTTTATATTGGATAGCTCTATCAGTTCTAAACTATTCTCCCTGAGGTCCAGTGAGGATCATGTCTTATTGATCCAGTGTTACTACAGGAAGAAACCAAAACTAAACTAACGTTACTTATACTGGATAGCTCTATCAGTTCTAAACTGTTCTCCACCTCCGGCTCTAGAGTATCATCTCTTATTGATCCAGTGTTACTACGGGAGGAATCCTAAACTAACTTTATTTATACTGAAAAGTTATGTCAGTGATAGGCCGTTCTTCCTACAACATGTCGACAAGATGTGTTCGCAACAGGCTTGTATAGCAAGCTTGTCAACAAATTGTAACAATGATGCTTGTGCTGTTACTCCGAGTGTATATCCACACCGGGCAAGCTTGAAAAATACGCCTGTCTACGGTGGGAATCGAACCTACGACATTTGGAATACTAGCCCAACACAGAAAAAATTGTAACAATGCTGTTATTTTATCAAGTTGCTACAAGGTTGTCACTCACAACTTGTTGACAAATTGTTGAATTGTAGGACGATAACAAGTTGTTGGAACAACTTGTAACAAGTCTGTTGAGCTCAACAACCTTGTAGGTACTAGCAAGTTGTCAACAAGCTGGGAACAAGCAGTGCGAATACGTCCTGTTGATAAATTGTTAGAACAGCATTGCTACAAATTTGCAGCAGGTTTGTTGCAACTTGTACGTTTTAAAAATCTCACATCTTGTAGCAAGTCTATAGAGCCAACAAGTTCGCACTGCTTGTACCAAGTTTGGAACAAGCTGTTAACAACTTGTAACAACCTTATTGGTCTTATTAATATGATCAGACGTGTTGCAAGGTTGTTCCAACAAGTCCGATACAGTCATCGTATAACAGTATTGTTACAACCTTGTATCATAACATTCTTGTTATTTCATGACTGTATCAGACTTGTTAGTACAACCTTGTAACAAGTCTGATAATGCCATCAAGCTTGTTACAAGTTGTCCAAAGCTTAGTGCCTGGTTACATGCGACCAAGGTGAAATTACAATTCGAACTGTGAATACCATAGTTACTGGGAATTGTGGCAACATTCGGCAGTATCTTCAGATCAGCAAAGTCGTCACGCGCAATGGTTAACGACTAAAAATGCGATTGCAATAACAAACTATTTTGCATATCGTAATTAATCACAGGAAGACAGGCCGGAAATTTAGAGATTACCCACTCAACTCCTTTTGTCTTTAAAGTTTTTTCAATATTAGTCTTAGAACACACAGGAATATGTGCATGTTCTTCTATGAAACCTTTTTCGTGCATTTTACTCAGTTATTCATTGCTACAATGTCGTCGTGTTAGCATTTTATGCGAAAATATAATATGTACACCCATTAGTGATGTATTTTTGTACATTGTACAGAGTGTTTTGAAAACACAACTCGTATAAACGCGCGTGTGGCCATAATATCGCACTCGGTATTAGGTCATTGTGTTGTTTTTGTCAAGAGTTTGTTAATAACTTGTGTAAGTTCAGCGTAAATTAAATGTCTTACGAAGGTCAAGCCGTGTGGGTCTCCTTAATCGCTATAAATACGTTAAGATAACATCATGTTTTTTGACGCCTTTTTGTTTTTCGAAATGGCAGGCCAAAGAGCGTTTCGCAAGAGGACATATTTTGCCTAAACTATTTGAGGAAATACACTGATTTAAACCAACTTCATTATTTATGCTTTAAAGCTTTCCGTAGTACAGTTTTCAGAAGCTGAGTGAAATAACATCTCTCCGTTGCAATAATTCCTCTAAGAATAGCGTTCCTAAAAAAAAGGTATACGAATAGGTGTTTTTTCACGCGGCTTCGGAAAGCTATCGATCCGTTACAGTATATAAACCCTTTGCTGGGTGAAATTATAATCAGGCAACGCCATATTGAGGAATTGAGGTGACTGCACTTGCGTAGTACTGTTTCAAAGCGTTTTTGGCACCATTGCAAACAGATAATTCCAGTATAGACTAAATTTTGATCTCGGCAAGAAGAACAAAATCCATCACCACTGCTTAGAAAGAGCATGTTAAAATTAGTATTTTAATAATTATAATATTTTCCGCATTTTACAACATTTCGCAGCCAAACTTTGCAATTTTAACATGCTCTTTCTAGCTGTCGTGTCACGATTTTGTTCTTCTTGCATAGATCAAGATTTAGTCTTTAGCTGGAGCCTGGAATCATCGATTGCAACTTTGACATGCGATCGAGCGATAATTAATACTTCGATTGGTTTTCTTTTTCGTATTTATAAAGAACAGACTTTTATCTGTCGAATGATATCTTTGTGGAATGATTGCGATAACTGAATGAGCAAATGCGATCTGATTTAATCGGTCGAATTCACATTTTCCCACCTTTGGGATTTATAAAATGTTCTTCCAAGTTACGAACATTTGCCTAAATTTCTGGCTATTTCAGATCGCAATGATACAAAGAAAGGTAGCATTCGACAGCTAAAAGCCCGATCGCTCTTGGTATGAAAAAAGTAAATTGATAAACGTAATATATATAATGCACAGGGTTGGCAAATGTTCTTATATTAGTTGTTCTTATATGTTCTTATATTATATAAGAATATTTTTTGGAAGGCAAAAATGTTCTTATATTTTCTTATATTATTCTCATTAATTATTCTACTTTGAAGTTGTAAATTTTAACTATTTGACATCCTGAAAATAAGATATACAGATAATAGTCGTATAAATACAGCAGTGATAACTATTTTTTATAATTTTGAAAGCCAGGACGTTACAGCAACATCTAAAATTGAAGTTGAATCATCATTTTAGGATTTTGGATGATGTCATAATATGACGTCATCAAAGTTTTTGAAAATGTTCTTATATTGCAAAAAATGTTCTTATATTAATATAAGAAATAAGAACATTTTATTTTTGAAAAAATGTTCTTATTTCCAACCCTGATAATGCACAATCGGATTACATGCCAAGACAAAGTTGGATTTTAATATTAATGCAAGATTTTTAATTTTTCGTGATTTTGTCTATTTTCCCAATCCTTGCTAAAATGAGTAAGCAGTCAAATGAATCTTATGAATCGTATGATCTTGTATTTAGTTGCAAATTCCTGCTATAGCCCAGAGTCTATCGCTTTCAAATGTGTTTAAATGATTTTGCCTTGGACGTTGTTCTTATCGGTAAAGTGACCTTAGTACATTCTGACTTGAGTGGTTTAATTTTGGATATATAAAATTTCAAAAATAACCCAGAGCACAAAGTCACACGCAGCTCGCACAACAAGGGATTAAATTTAATGATTTAAATACTTCGCATTTGCTCACTTCGGGGGGCGAGCCGTGTTTGCTTTGTGGCCGACCTGTTGACTTCGTTTATTTTGGCTTTCGTATTAAGATATTTGCATTGTAT